GAAAATTAATGATTAATGAATACAGTTCCTACTGTAATATTGTAAAATTAAAGCAATTTTAAATAAAAACCATTAGCGATTCAGGACATTGTTTAATTTGTAATGTTCATAACAATCTTATTATAATTATTTCTTATTACCAGTTACAGCGGTTGTCTGTTGAAGTGTTGTCGTTTCTTCAGTTGTTGTTGCTATTGTCGTTTCTTCAGTTGTTATTGGTATTGTCGTTTCTGTAAAATAAAATAAATTCTAAATCGGAATAAATAAAAAAAAAACCAAACAAACAAACAAAACCAAATCTCAATTCCCTTGATGTGTCAAAATATATTCATTTCTAGTTACTAGTCTTAACTTTGATCCATTCGCGGTGCCCAATTATACACTATCACAGCCTTTATATTTCGATCTTTCAGATGCGAGAGTTCCTTTACGACTTTTCGGAAGATGACAATTTGATATATTCGATTTTGATTGAAACGTTTTCTACGCATTGTTGCAATTGTATGTACTAGCTAAGTGTCTGTGCACTTTAACATGTTTAAAGTCACATTACATTGTAACATTGATTCTAAAGCTTACATCTATCTTTTTTGTACAATGCAATAACGAATTGTTGTGTAATGATAAAAGCGATACCAGTGTATTACCATTTATCTAAGCTGGTTATTTCAAATCAAATTGAAATGTATAAGATCACCGCTCCGCAGTACTTATCGATTATAATGAGGATATTTCAAAACGATTGTGAAATTGCAGAACTTATGGCAATTTATATTCAATCTGAATTTGTTTGGAATGCCGTCTCTTTTTACATGTAACAGTAGCATATTGAGATAAATGTTCTTACGTGCTGTTATTTGAAGAGTAATAGATGAATTGGCTACTCCATCTTGGTTTTCAGCAATACACAAGTAATTTGCTTCATCTGATGACGTTAAACTATTAATTATGAGTGTTGTTGATCCACTATTTTGATTTAAGCCTACATCAAGTATTACGTTTTTAATTCCTGTAGAGAGTGTCTGAGATGCTCCGGCAATGTTTTTCGTCCAGGAAACACTAGTAAGTACATGCACTGACGATGTAATTGTGCATGACAATGTCACGGAACCTCCGATGATAGCGTCAGATGATATTGGTAATGGCGATACAATTGGAAAATCTAAACATTAAATGAAAATAACAATTTGAAGAAGTTCCTGCGATTAAAGCGCTTTTTTTAATTTACCTTTATCAGCAACACTTAAATCGAAATCTTTTAAAGCCAAAGAATGTATAAAACCCGAAACCTTGAAGAGCTTTATGACCTAAAGAGACATAAAAATGAACAGCTTAGTTGATGAAAGTTACTGAGGCTCATCTTCTACACAATTTCTGTTTTATTATGTCCTTATTCCATTCAGTTATTAAAATCAAAATTCAAAATCAACAAATCTTGATTTGATTGTTGCTTTGTTGTTTTTGTTTACTGTTCTTTAACTTTTCTCCCTTTTTTGCTCTTGCAAGCATCACAATAATTATAATGGAAGAAAGAAACACAAATGAAATTAATGTGAGGAAAATATGTCCGCAAGTGAAAAAGATGATATGCTATATAGGGATCGACATTTTGTCTTGTAACGATTTTATATACCACTTTTGTATTTTTGACACCTAAATCGGGACATAATAAAAGAGAGGTGAAAGATACCAAAGGGACATTCAAACTCATAAGTCAAAATAAAACTGACAACACCATGACAAAAAAAGGAAACGATCAAAAGTCAAACAACAGTAAACAAAACAAATAGAAAAATAACGACTTAGCAACACGAACCCTATCAAAGCCGGGGATGATCTCAGGTGGTTCGGTAGGGTGAGCAGATCCAGTTCCACATATTTCGTGCTCATGTAAGTACAAACCCACTGATAATAAATGTAGTTCCTTACTTGCCATTTTTGCGTTTGGAGCATTTGCCTAAATCTGGTATTAGGTAATTTGTATTTCGAAATGTCCAAATTCCGACCGGACTGTATTTATACACACCGCACATTCAAACTGATGCGCTTTAGTATGTATGTTTCTCTCGGATTTATGAAGTCCCGGGATGGGCATATTTATTTCCTTAGTTATCTTACCTGTACTGGGAATAAACGCCAATGCATTATAATAATTGACATTCTTAATTCTTCGTCGATGTTCAAAAATATATATTTTGTATAAGAAATTTTGAACCATTTTAACCATGACACTATCAAAAACCACTAATATTGACATCGAATGCTTAAAAAATGCATCGAAACTCGCTGAAGAATTCTCTGGTTTTTCGTTAGAGTACTGTCGTATACTAAATATGATTTGTTAATTTTTGCTTTTGTGAAATTGGCTCAATTTCTCGGTGTGATATAGCTAATTTGCATTAATACGACGTTAGACATGCATAGTTTAAATAGGAAATTAACATTTAGTGATTACCTTATTTTACAGTATTCTTTTTAGAATTTTTCCCCCAAATTGTCTGATATATTGTAAAAAAAAGGATTTCCTAGAATTTTGTAGTCTTAAAAAAAAAGGTAGAATGTGTTTTATATGCTTGAATGGCTAAGCTTTACTATAAAACAATTGTACGTATATTTCCTTATAAAAACAAATACTTTATATTATCAAAATCTTCATAATTGTACTGCTGTTGAATTATTTCCTTCCCGTACACTAATTAGCCGACATCCAGTATGCAGTTACCTTGAATAAAGGCAACAGTAGTATACCGCTGTTCGAAACTCATAAATCGATAGAGATAAAAACAAATCCGGGTTACAAACTAAAACTGAGGGAAACGCATCAAATATAAGAGGAGAACAACGACACAACAAAATACAACATTAAAATGTAACACACACAGAAACGACCTATAATACAACAATGGCCATTTTCCTGACTTGGTACAGGACATTTTAAGAAAAAAAATGGTGGGTTGAACCTGGTTTTGTGGCATGCCAAACCTCCCGCTTTTATGGCAACGTCAAACACAACACCAAAACGACAACATCACATGACAGGACCACAATACAAATAAATTGGAGAACATATAGGACAAAGAAACACACAAATAATAGCTAACAAAAGGTACTAGGCTTAAAATTCAATACGCCAGACGTGCGTCTCGTCCACACAAGACCAACCAGTGACGCTCAGATGAAAAAAGTTTGAAAGCCAAAACAAGTACAAAGCTGAAGCGCACCGAGGACCAAAACTTCCAAAAAGTTGCGCCTAACACGGCCAGGGTTTTCTGCTTTGGACAAGAACATCCTTATTATTTAGAATAATTTATAATTTTGCAAACAGTAAATTTTATAAAATGACTATATAATAGATATACATGATAAAACCGAAGTGGGGACTAACTACAGAATAAAAACAGATACATTACATTAAACAACTTAATCCAACACATAAAAATACACATACGAGAACTCTCGTTAGAACTTCGGCCACCGCAGAGCGCAAGTGCAAGGAGGAAAACCGTAATGAAAAATATAGGTAAAGGTAAATAGTAATATCTGATTATAAAGGTACAAACTTTATACAACAAATCATTTAACAACTGTTAAGGACAAGTTTAATTCACAAATGGGAACGCATGGAAAAACATATCATGACTCTATCAGTTCACTTATTTGTCAAGTGCTCCACTTGCTCTGTGTTGATTGTTTATTAATGTCACAATCCGGTAAACTTCGGCAACATATGGATCACGATTGGGGAATGTTCAAGTTTTTAAAAGAGGGTTGATATCGTTATCCCATAACCACATATTTTCTTAAAAATGTGTAATACTAATTGAATGATACAAAAATCATTTACGAAATAACAAAATACCATTTTTTTTAAAGATTTAAAGTGTCCTTTTTACATGTAATTTACTTACGTTCCTTTACATGAAGAGTAATATCTTGACTTTTAGTCTGACCGTCCTGATTCTCGCCATAACAATTGTAAATGCCACTATCTGCTGCCTCTATATTATTAATTGTTAGTGTAGGCACTCCATTATTCTGATTTAAGCCATTATTTACTATTGTATATTTACTTCCTGCGGATAGTGTCACTGATCCTTTAGTCCAGGAAATAGCAGTAATTACATGTGCTGGTGATGAAATTGTACATTGAAATTTTTCTGAAACTCCGATGTTAGCGTTGTATGTTGTTTGTACCGATATGGATGGAAAATCTAAAGCATATCATATAAAAAAAGATGTCTTTATGGGCATAGTATATTATTTTTTACCAAAATTAAAAGATGTTATATATGAAACCTAAACACTACACGAGGTAAAAAAATCATAACTGTCATGCAAAACACATATAGACTACAGCTAACAACTCAGTAAAAAATCAATCGCAATACAATTGCGATCCCTTTCCGTGTAACATTATTTTTTTCTAGCCTATTTACTAAATTTTCTGATACTTGAACAAAATATGATGTAGTATGTTTTTACAAGTTGGATAAATATATAAAAAAAGATTACATATTAACGTTCATCTTATGCCAATATGCCGTTTTATGCTAAAAGGTTAATACGAATACACGGAAAACATATGGAGTCTTTTGTTAAAATTGTTCTGTAGAGACAATAAAAATGCACTGTTCAGGTACCGTAGCTCCGACGCATCACGACTGGGGAATGTTTAATTTTCTAAAAGAGTGTTGAGATCCCTATCACATAATCAAATATTTTCTTTTAAATGTGTCAAGACTAATTGAATGATATAAAAACCAATTATAAAATAACAAAAAGCAGTGGTTTTTATAAATTAAAAGTGTCCTTGTTACGTATAAATTACTTACGTTCCTTTACATGAAGAGTAATATCTTGACTTTGAGTCTGACCGTCCTGATTCTTACCATAACAATTGTAAATGCCACTGTCTGCTGCCTGTATATTATTAATTGTAAGTGTAGGCACTCCATTATTCTGATTTAAACCATTATTTACTATTGTATATTTGTTTCCTGCGGATAGTATCACTGATTCTTTACTCCAAGAAATAGAAGTAATTACATGTGCTGGTGATGAAATTGTACATTGAAATGTTTCTGAGACTCCGATGTTAGCGTTGTATGTTGTTTGTACCGATACTGTTGGAAAATCTAAAGCAAATCATTAAAAAATGACAAGATGTCGTTAAAGACATAATATTTTGATTTTTATCAAAATCAAAAGATATTATATATGAAACCTAAATAATGTAAGAGGTATACAAATCATAACTGTCATGCAATCCACATATAACAACTCAATAAAAAAATCGATCGAAATGCAATTGCGATCCCCTTATCGTGTAGGTTTCTCTTTTCGAACTTGTTCACCAAATTGTCTGATACTCGAACTAAGTATGATTTATTATGTTTTTTAAAGTTGGATAAATGCACTGTTGAGGTACCGTCTTAATACTTTATACTTACTTACATTGTTTACAGCAGCTCAACCTTTATGTGAAAATACATATAAAAATATTAAATGATATTAACTTTAGGAAAATACCATTTTTTCTTACAAAATAGTTAAATCTAATGAGCATATTATAATATTAAAAAAATATATATACAATCAACATAATACAAACTACTTACGTAGTGCATGTATATTAAGAGTAATAGCTGAACTATATCCCCAACCGTCCTGGTTTGCTACATGGCAGTAGTAATTTGCAAAATCTGAAGACTGTACGTTATTAATTGTTAGAGTTGTCGATCCGCTTCTCTGACCCAAAGCATTGTAAGAAATAACATATTTGGTATCTTGATTTATTTGTGAAACTTCTTTTTTCCATATAATGTCTGTAACGTCGTGATGTGAGGAGTCAATTGTGCATTTCAGTGTTACAGCTCCTCCGGTAATGATGTCATATGTATTTTGCTCAGAGCTTACTATTGGATTATCTATATTAAAAATATAAGTAAACGAAATAAGTGTTTTATTACCAAAATAAATTTTCTATACTTTCAATGTTATACCATTTGTATACGGCAATATTTTTGAATCATCTCAGATTTTATGAGTTTGAATGTCCCTAGGGTAACTTCCGTCTTTCTTTTAATATCTTTAAAGTAAAGTAAAGTAATTGTTCAGTGCAATAGTAGAAAAACTTATTAAAAGTCGGGGTTTTAGATAGTCTAAGTATGTAATTGTAGACCAGATGTTTTTTTGTTTTTGTTATTTGGTTGCTGTGTTTCATTACTGCATATCCCACACTTTTCATTAAGTTATTTATAAAAGAATTTGATATAAAATTATTGTGCCTTTGATACCGATTTTACTTAACAAAGTTTTGCATTTTTAATCAAAGATTTACCCTACATTAGATTGCAGCGATGCAATGTGATTTTTTCAAAGCATTATCCCTCTTCTAATCAAAATAAAAGAGGGGCGAAAGATATTAAAGGGATATTTAAACTCATAAGTCGAAAATAAACTGACAACGCCATGGCTAAAAAAGAAAAAGACAAACATACAAACAATAGTACACAAAACACAATATAGAAAACTAAAGACTGAGCAACACGGACCCCACAAAAAACTGGGGGTGATTTCAGGTGCTCCGGAAGGGTAAGCAGATCCTACTCCACATTTGGCACCCGTCGTGTTGCTCATGTTAGTACAAACCTGGTAATAAGTCTAATTCGGTATGTCACATTCGGGAAAATGGGAATGGGATTGTAGTTACGACATTAGGAACATATCCGCTATCATCTGTGAAAGGGATATTCCGTAACGGTCAACCAGCTCGTGATGGCGTCCGTCAAATTTACGAAGGGATGATTTCAACTTCACCACTTGGAACTCTTGGTTTAATAGCTTCCTTGTGAGCAGCAACCCTCTATCAAGGAAATCATGATAGTAAATACAAACCCTGGAGTATCGTATCAACTGGGAGATATATACTCCGTATGTAGGCGCTGCTGGAATGTTGCTACATAAAAATGAAAAGTTCACAATTGGGAAGCTGAAATCATCTCTTTTGTCATAAAGTTTTGTTTTCAACCGACCCTCATTGTCAATTTCTAGATGTAAGTCAAGATATGAGGCAGATTTAACTGTATCTGTTGTATCATTTATCTCAAGTTCGATGGGATAGATGCGTTCAACATAGTCATCAAATTTTGAATTATTTAGTGAGAGAACATCATCTGTGTAGCAGAAAGTAAAGTTAAAGGATACTGCAAATTCTTTTCTTTCTTCCTAAGAAGTTCCTGTATGAAGTCAGCCTCATATGAATAAAAGAACAAGTCGGCAAGACGAGGGGCACAGTTGGTTCCCATGGGAATGCCGATTGTTTGTTGAAAAGCACATCCTCAAAACGTAACAAATATTTTGTCAATCAAGATATCAAGCATCTTGATAATGTCAGTTTCAGAGAATTTTTTGTTTGAATCAGAGCGATTTTTTACAAGGTAGGATTTATCTCTCCCTAAAACCAGATACTTGTATCTACGTTGGCCATTCTTTTTTACGATAGCAGGACCAATTCTTTCAATTTGTGTTTTAGTTTGGAATGGGGAATACTTGTGTAAAGTGTATAGAAAAGTCAAATGTTTAAATACTATTGCAAGATAAGAGAGTCTTAGATTGTATGTACTCTAAAAGATCTTTGGAATTTTTTAGTATCCACATCTGATTACGCCACCTCTTGAATAGGTAGTTTTACAATAACTTTGAAGCCCGGATTTGATTGCTGATAAAATTGATGTTAATAATTTAGAAAGAGGATTCGTGGAGCACCTGGAAGACCCAGAAATATGCCGTTGTTTGTAAGGACACTTGTGTAGTTTAGGTATCCAATACAGTGATGGAAGATCAAGTTAAAACTATGCATTATATACTTACGACCACCAGACTCTGAAATAAAAAAGAGAAGTCTATAAATATTGCATAGCAGTGTCTCAGCCAACTTCAACTTCATACTTAATTTGACCTTTTAACTGATGAGTCTTTAAAAGACAAAACGCGCGTCTGACGTAAAAAATGTTTATTCTGGTATCTATGACGAGTTTATTTTCGCTTGTTGTTCAAAATAATATAACTTAGAATAAAAGTTGATTTTGGTTTGCTTCATACGATGGTATGCAGTTTTGTTTTTGATCAGTTTTAACTTCTCTTAAAATCTGCCAAGAACTGCCATGGAAAATGTTCTAAACAATCCCTAGAACTAATCTGATTTCACGTTTTTAAAAAAAAGATAAAAAATAAAGAGATGTGGTATGACTGCCAATGTGACAACTATCCATCGGGGTTCGAATACCGTGGAAGTTAGTAATTATCGGTTACCATATAATTAATAAGATCTTCTTAATAAGAAATCAATATCATACTTAGTGCATGCATATTGGTGTGACTTTGAAATAAAGATGAATTGTGTTTTTCAAAATTAAAAAGACACTCATACTAAGATACCATAAACCAGTTTCATGGATTATTCAGTTACACAATTCGTCATCTTTTTTATTAGTAAATTTAAATATTTATAATCATGACAAAATACTAAAATTGTTGCCTAGTTCAACGCTTATACTTTCTTCTCCATTAAGAGTCCTGGTCGTATGGTATTCCAAGGGGAAATGTATGTTAATTTTCAATAAAGAAACAAATTGTTTCTTATTTTGTTCTTTTATCATTAAAAAAATATTAACAAAAATACCGATCTCCAAGTAATCTGAATAATTCAGTCGTCATATTCCACTGATCTACGATTGCTACATGAATGCCTGAATGCCTAGTTAATGGAAAATCGTCAATCAATCATTCGGAAGTAGCTCTGCATTTACACATCTCGATAACATTAAGCTTTCAGCTGATTGACTCTCTCACCCAAAGAGCACCAATCTAACTCATTGTTTCGTGACGGGTTTTTATCGTATAGAGAGTTCAGGCCATCACGAGTGGTAAAGTCGATCACGGGGAGTGACTGAATTATTCGGCTTAAAATCCAAGGCAAATTCAAAAAGAGGGAAATCCATAAGGCATGTTTTTAATCAAACGTTAGAATTTATCAACCAACAGAATGAATGTAAAACGACTGGGAACAGGCATTTTCCGAAGAAAATGGTGGGTATAACCTGATGTTATATCTAACTAAACCTCCCACGTCCTTCAAAAATGAGAAAAAAACCCATAAGGCCAAGAAAAGAAAAATGTGAAACAATTCAAACGAGAAAACTAAAGGCCTAATTTATAACAATTCCAAATACGAAAAACAAATATTACATAGAGGAACCAACGACTACCACTGAAAAACAGGCTGCTGACTTGAATGAGACAATTACGGAATGCGGCGGGGTAAAACATGTGTGTGAGTGCTTAACCCTGTCCTAACCTTGGACAGTGGTGTAACAGCACAACATTAGAACAAACTGTTAAAACAAAACAAATATTAGGACCGATAAAAACAATACATAAAAAAACTTCTTTGGAGAGTTTTGAACTCAAGTTGTTTTCGACAGTTCTAACCTCAAACTGATTCAAACAGTTCTAGGATAGAATAGTTTTTGACGGTGCTAGCATAAAACTCATTCATACAGTTTTATCTTTAGAAAAGTTTTGGATGGCGCTTTATTCGTTTAACAAGTTTTCATTGTATTTATTTATGAATTTATGTAAATTTCGGTTTACAACTTCTGATGCTATACCTTTCTAACATTTCTTTAAATCCTCTAGGAACTGTCAGGAAAACTTTTCTTAAACAGTCTCTCATGACAAATCTCCTGACACATTATTTTATCTATAACTTTAATCTAAAACAGATTCTGACAGTTCAACCACAGAACAATTTTTTACAGTGCAACCCTAGAATTAATGTTGTCCGTCAATCGATAGAACATTTTTGACAGATCTACAAATGTAGTTATTTAATTATTATTGTTCATTGTTATTTATTTATTTATTTTTGTTTCGTATGTATCTATTTTTGTTACGTATGTATTTATTTATTGATATCTAATCAAATTTATTTTTGTTACGTATGCATTTATTTAATAATATTTAAATAAATTTATTTTTGTTACGTATGTATTTATCTATTGATATTTAATTAAATTTATTTATGTACATGTATTTCTTTACTAGTATGACCGTTTATTTAAAAACACAATGTAGTGTTCCATTCTTTTACGTCATTTAATGAAATGCGACTGTTTTCTTTTCCATTCATGCTATACATGAAGTACAAGTAATGGATATTATAGGATTATTTTTATAATGATTCATTTCCAAAGTGATTGTCAGTCTAATGATAAGAATATTGTTATGTTTAGCATTGACCATGCGAAATAGTAGCCTCAATCGCAACCAATGTGAAACACAACATTATTATATACATATGTTTCGTATATAACTATGAAGTCAGTGGTCGTGTGTGTGTTACGATTGTTTCCGTAGTATAACTAGTAGTTATTAGATTTTTAAGAATTTGAGCAAATATTAGGTATAGTAAAAAGTACTCACAAAAGTACTGAACTCCAAGGTAAATTCAGAGGCTCTCTAGAGCCTTATCGCTCACCTGTATCTACTGTGGTTTAGGAAATCATGTAAAATAAGGTTAAAATCACAATAAATAGTATGAGATACCCTAATAATGATTGAGGCCAAGTTTGGCTTAATTTAGCCCAGTACTTAAATTAAAAGCAGTTCATCCCATTGTAGTCTTACAATAGTTACTGAAGACCCCTTATTATTATTTAAATTATTTTTCAAGTTGTGACCATTTGAAATTGTTTATTTTACAATTTTCCCATAGATTTCTATAGTAAACCCCTATGTTATATTTTTAGCCATGGTGGCCATGTTGGTTGGATGGAAGGGTCATCGGATACATTTCTAAATCAAGATACCCTATTGACTATTGTGGCTAAGTTTTATTCTATTTGGCTCAGTAGATTAAGTGAAGATTTTTGTAAAAGATTACAAAAATTTACGAAAAATTGTGAAAAATTGACTTTAAACTAATGAACATTTTTACCCCATGTCATACTTGATCTAAATGCTTTAGTTTCAGAGATATAAGCCAAATACTGCATTTTACCTCCATGTTCTTTTTTTAGCCATGGCGGCCAACTTGGTTGATGGGCGGGGTCATCGGATACATTTTAAAAAATAGATATCCTAAGGATGATTAAGGCCAAGTTTGATTTAATTTGGCCCAGTAGTTTCAGAGGAGAAGATTTTTGTAAAAGATTACAAAGATTTACGAAAAATTGCGAAAAATTTACTTTAAAGGGCAATAACTCATTCTGGGGTCAATTGACAATGTTGGTCATGTTTGACTTATTTGTAGATCTTAATTTGCTGAACAATTTTGCTGTTTACAGTTTATCTCTATTTATTATAATATTCAAGATAATAACCAAAAACTGCAAAATTTCCTTAAAATTATCAATTCAGGGGCAGCAACCCAACAACAGGTTGTTTGATGCGTCTGAAAATCTCAGGGCAGATAGATCTTGACCTGATGAACATTTTTGCCTCTTGTCAAGATTTGCTCTAAATCCTTTAGTTTCAGAGATATAAGCCAAAAACTGCATTTTACCTCCATGTTCTTTTTTTAGCCATGGCGGCCAACTTGGTTAATGGGCGGGGTCATTGGATACATTTAAAAAAAAAATTCCCTAAGAATGATATAGGCCACGTTTGGTTTAATTTGGCCTAGTATTTTCATAGAAGAAGATTTGTGTAAAAGATTACAAAAATTTACGAAAAATTGTGAAAATTTGACTTTAAAGGGCAATAACTCCTTCACGGGTCAATTGACAATTTTGGTCATGTTTGACTTATTTGTAGATCTTCCTTTGCTGAACAATTTTGCTATTTACAGTTTATCTCTTTCTATAATAATATTCAAGATAATAACCAAAAACTGCAAAATTTCCTTATAACTACCAATTCAGGAGCAGCCACCCAACAACGACTTGTCTGATGCGCCTAAAAATATAGGGCAGATAGATCTGGACCTGATAAACATTTAAACCCTTGTCAGATTTGCTCTTAACTTTTTAGATTCAGAAATATAAGCCAAAAACTGCATTTTACCGCCATGTTTTATTTTTAGCCAAGGCGGCCATCTTGGTTTATGGGCGGGGTCATCGGATACATTTTTTAAACTAGATTCCCTAAGGATGATATAGGCCAAGTTTAGTTTTATTTGGCCCTGTAGTTTCAGAGGAGAAGATTTTTGTAAAAGTTAACGGACGACGAAGACGACGGACGACGACGACGACGACGGACGACGGACGTCAAGTGATGAGAAAAGCTCATTTGGCCCTTTTGTTCCAGGTGAGCTAACATGGGGAAGTCCATAAAACCTGACAAAATCAAACGCTCGACTTCATCAACCAACAGAATGAATGGAAAACAAGTGTCATATTCCAGACTTGGTACAGGCATTTTCGGAAGAAAATGGTGGAGTAAACCTGGTTTTATAGTTAGCCCAACTTCCAACTTGTATAACAATTGTTTAAAGTTCCGTTACATTGATCAAATAAGGGAATAAAATGACAAAACAAAAAAATGATAATTTCAAAGTTGCATAAACTACATAAATCATAATAGGTAACACACCTTTATTCCTAGAATATTCTGTTTGAATCAAAATGATAAAATTAGAAGAGCTAAATAAAACAAATTAATGAATTATATAAATAGTTTAAGACAGCTGTTCAAACCATATTGTTTTAGAGATATTTTGTCGAACTGTTAGAATCTGGTCAGTACTGTCCAAGGCTAATTTAAAGGTGCCAGAAAAACTGTTATAGAGACTGTTCTGTAAAAGGTCTCGTGACAGTTCCTTGCAAATTTGGAGAGAACTTAGAACTCATCCCAAATGTAGCTAAATGTAACACACCATTATACACATTTAATACATAAGTTATTCAATTGAATCAAAATGAGTTGAAAATGGTCTTAAATAATTTAAACAAATAATCAATTTCACAAAATAATAACTTAAGTTATACGAAAACAGCAATTACTAAAGGAAATGGAGGATTTAGTATGGATGAACTAAGAATTTGAAATAGAATCAACATGCATAGAATGTGACCTTTTTCCATAGTAAATATTGAATTCAGTTTAATTGCTAGATAAAAAATTATGAGATATGTTATATAGTATAATTCAGTATATTTGTTTGCAACACAGATTAAATGCTTTTATGACAAAATAACTATTTGTCGCATAGACAAATGAATGGTGAAATTATATCTTATATATTATGGAGTTGTCATCTAGATTTCCAAAAAAGATAGATATCAATCTACAAAATTCAAAGTTCAATATATGTATCATGTTAAATAATCACTAATGGAAATTGTAGCTTAGAAATGATTCGATTTATGTCATGATAATATTTTTTTTTAATAACTAATATATACAAAACAGAAAAGAAAAAACATAGAACGTCTTTAATCTTTTTCTTTATTCTGTGAGGAGTAGAACAATGGTTAAGAAACAGTAACATGTACACCTTGTTTGAAATAAATCATAATTCAATATAAAGTACCATTCATATATCCTTTTAATAGTATATAAAAATGCAAGCAAAGCTGCTGAAGATCCTTATACAAATAAGATAAGTTATCACCTAAAGATTTGTAAGAAAAGAAAAAAAACTTACCTGCAATCGTTATCAATACTAGTGTTATAAGAGCCGGATATACCCAAATCAAGTAACGTGTCATCATAATCTGTCAAAAGTTTTTTCTTACAATCATAATCCTGTAATGTTCATTTCATATGAAATATTCTAGAATGTTTCGTTTTTAAAACGTATTTCTATCTCAGTAACTGACCGTTAAATTGCAAATTAATAATTAATACAAATAATGATGTAGCTTCTAAAACTGTAAACCATTTCTGTATTTCACCAATGTTTAATTACAATACAATGAAGTTATTTAGAATATCAATTAAAACTCATTACTCAAACGTATTCAAAAAGGTAAAATGAACATTTCATTCCATTATATTCTTTAATGCACTGATATACTCAAAATGCCACCAGTGTTTATTTGATTTTAAAACTTTAAAACAATTTATATATTTTCCTACTCACACTTTTGGTTTCGAATAAAGATTATACCAGAAACATATGTTTTTGGCACCGAAATCGGTTTATATGTTCATTGTATGCCACATATGATGGAAATGTCTATTATTTGAGACCTCACTCATTTTGATGACAAAATTAATTGTAAAAAATTATCCGATCTGAATTGAAATATCTAGGATATATAAAGCGGAGTATACATAATTGGACAGTATATCGGATTTTAATGAAATTGTGTATGCATTTAGAACTCATTGAACTATATCTAAATATTGAAACATTGATAAATGTAGCATATATACTGTCAGAGATACAACCATTAATTAAAATAGTTATGAAACCAATCCAAAAATGTATAAAATGTATGTAAAATGCAATTTGTCAATTTAAATGTTCTCGAAATACGGACCACATAATTTTGTTTAAAAATTATATATTATTGCTGTTAACTTTTCCGTTTTAATGATATATAAATTTAATGGTTCATCGATTTTTTCAGTAAGATTCAGTTGCCATATTTCGAGTGAAAAGAGTGTTACATTGCAAAAAAAGGCGTAAAGTCGGAACTTCATGCTGCAAATTCGTAACTGTCTATATTAAACTTATTTGATGTAGATAGCAAAACTGAATTCAGTGATCCCCTAATATTATCATATCTTCTTGATTAAAATTTATCTAGGAGAAAGGAATGTTATCGAAAAAAAAACAACAATTACAATTGTGTATGCAGAGTATTAAAAAAAAATTAAAAATGAAAATCCGTTATTGAAAAAACTGTTTTCAGACGCACAAGCAAGATAATATAAAGAAGGATTTTTCTTTAAAGAGAGGCTAAATATTCCAAAGGGATATTCAAACTCTTGAATGAGTTGAAAACAGTATTTTAACTATCATGACAGCATCTGGTTTTAGAATAAATTTGTTTATTTCCTTTTCAAATACCCTAGGAGTGAATCAATATCAATTCCAAAAAATATGCGATCTTGAATGACTTGAAAACAGTATTGTAACTATATTCCTTGTTAATAAGTCTGTTTAAAGGTTTGGTTAGCATTTGAGATGAAAGACGACGTGTGTGTGCTTTGTATAGAATGTTACCATAAAAATGGGATGTGGACGTATAAGATGTCTGCACGTTGATTAAAATTTACGAATGTTTCCTTGTATCAATGATAAAATTAATAAAAGTTTTGAGTTAACATGGATGGTATATAAATTAACGGGCTCTATGCACAAGATAATCTATGCTCATTTGACCATGAGTTGGCATTACATTTGTCAATATCTTTAAAATCTGTAAAAGGTTGACAAATATAATGCCTAACAATGTTAAAATGAGCACATGGTGTTAGTTGAAAGATTTATTTCTTTTCTTAAAGAAAAATTCGGAACTTTGGTCTTTGAAGCGGACCTATAAAATATTTGAAAGGCAGCCATTTTAATTTGACGAAGCTTAATCATTCAAGAAAACCAACTTTTTTACGATCAACAAGTATGCAAATACATGAAGACTTACTTTTAAAATAATTTTATATAATATCTATTGAGCAACACCAACAGAAATGTCCAGTTTGATCTCCAGCGTCGTTCAAAATACATCTGACGTTACAATTTCAATTTTGACGTCGCGCACGTGCAACCCCTATTTTATTTGAAATATATCATGGCTTTTTTAACTAAGCGAAAAAAAAGGCGATATATAAGAATTGTGTTTCGAGTGGTTAAGAAACACGACACATATTTGTTCTGTAAAACTAGGTTCTACTTAAAATAATTAGATAGCAATTTACGGCTACTTACAATCTAATACTTGCATAGTGGTAATTGTCAGATTTACTATCAACTACAACACTTTTTGTTGGCGTCCTAGTCAGATTTATTTGTATGTTTGTTTGAGTTATTTTAGTCAGTTGTGTCGTATGTCTGTGAAGTGGTAACACAATTTAGGCTGCTGAATCCCAATTGTCAATTTAACCAATTAGGTATGTTTTAATGGACACCCCTTTTGAGTTTACCTTGGAGTTCGGAATTTTTGTTAATACTTTTTATTGATAACAAAAATAAGGGACGCACTTCGTCAACATAACAATATGTTTCTTATTGAAAATAAACATACAATTCTTTTAAGAATACCATACGACCAGGACTCTTAATGGAGAAGAAAGTATAAGCATTGAACTAAGCAATAATCTTTCCATAGAAAGAACTTCTGAATTATCTGTTTACAAACTTTGAATTGCTCGAAATACTAGGTATTTTCTACCTCAGGAATAGATTACCTTAGCTGTTTTTGGCAAAACCTTTCGTAATTTTGGGTCGTCAGTGCTCTTCAATTTCGTACTTTCATGGAAATGGACCTTCATCTGGAACGCTCAAACATTTCAAAACCAGGGGTGTATAATTACGCCGAAACGTTTATTTGTTCATAACCGATAATTTTTAATTCAATTATCCCCTTTGCCACCAAGCGATAACCTGCCAGATGACACATATTCTTTAGTTTGGACAGTGAATTATTTGTACAATTTTTTTATACACCATTCAAATTTATTTCGTCATGTTTAGTGTTTCTGTTGTCTTTGTTCATCTCTTATATTTGATGTGTTTCCCTCCATTTTAGTTTGTAACCCGGATTTGTTTTTTCTCAATCGATTTCGAACAGCGGTATATTACTGTTGCCTTTATTTATATACATGTATAACATTGCAATAAGAGGTATGCAATTATACTTTTAAACAAATTGGGTCAAACATTTTAAGGTGAAGTTGAGGTTTGGTCGTGATAAAAAAGGTGAAAAACTATGAAATTAGTAAATCTGAAATTGTTAAACTGAATTATTTTAAAGACCCCTTAACATAAAATTGTTCATATGGTGGATTAAAGCTGGTAACAATTTCTATTATTTTATGTATTTGTCCTTTAAGCAGTATACTACACTGTATAAAATTTTTTGAGAAAACGCAGCTGTCATTTTTTTTATTTGCATTTATTCTTCTACACAATTAATGAATATTTAAAAATATAAATAAGCGATTTGCTTCATGCCCATCTAGTAATGGATGACATTTGGAGCTGTGGAAACAGTGCTGAAACCGCCAAACATTATCTTTTGGACTATGTTCGCTACCGTGTAGCGAGAAGGAGAAAATGGTTTCTGGAAGAATTCAAGTACCAGCCACGATCTCGAACTTGTTGCACATTAGCGAATCTCTAGATAATAAAACCAACACAGAAAATTTTAATTAGTTCAGATATATGTCAAAGAGTGTGGTCGCTTCTGTATTACTTGAGAGGTACTGTTATCAACAACAGTGATTCAATGTTTCTTCTTTTTTGTTTTCTGTATATACAGAATTATCTATATACAGAATAATCTATATTTCTAATATTTTGAAAGCATGCTTACACTAGTAAATTCTGTAATGATGATAGAAAACTAAAAGTACTTACATATTGCTTGGTATATAATGTTACCATGGCTAAAGTCCGTTATAGAGAATAAGTATACACATTACTAAACACATGGATACTTTTGATTGATCCTTAATCCTGACCTTTACATATTTAATCCCATCCGTGATAATGACGTATTCCAGTTAACTCGACTTACCGAATCATCCTTTTACTAGTGTGGGCAGTGCGACCGTATATAAACACAAACTTTATGTCATTGTTTTCCTTCTTTGTTTATTAATATATATTTATATATACAAAAACTCCTTTATTGTTATTGAAAAGTTTTTATATTTATGTAATGCAGAAGACAACTCTTAGTTGTTTAACTTGTGTCCGATCCTATGTCATGTATTATTTCGACAATAAAATATGTTTAAACTAACTAGAATAGGTCTCCTGACAATACTTGATCCCAACTGTAGCTAAATGTAAAAAATTATTCAACATATTGGATACAAAATTAATTAAAATGATTCAACATGAAGTAAAACGGTTTTTAAGAATATATAAGGGAATCCAAGCATAAAAAGGAGAGAACTAATTTAAATTATACGAAGGCAGTAATTACTTAAGTAAATAGAAGACTTAGTGTGAGTTTCAGATTGAATACATGAACTTAGAACTTAAAAAGAATTAACATGTTCAAAATAATCACAATGACTTCCTTTGCCTCCAGCACTGGGTCGATACCTCTGTTGGTGGACTATCAGTCGGTAGCATCAGCTCAGTAGTCAGCTCTTGATATGATTTATAACAAACCTTTCTAAAATTGTCCGCTAATAAAGTTTGAACGTATAAAGAAACTAAGGTTTCAACTCCCTCAGGCAAAGTTGACCTTAAATGGATTGTGCTATTTTTAGGTCCTTTTTGGTCATATAGCTCCTCAATTGACTCGATTCTTAAACATCCTAGGCTTTCAAATATTCGGCGTTCCCGACGAAGGTAAATCCAGAAAAGCTCTTCGGAAACATAACATTTACAACCTGTTGTTTTCTTTTTTTTTCAACACTAAATATTGAATTCTCTATACTTGCTAGTTGCGAATTTATAAGAAATATGATAGTATTATTTAGTCTATTTATTAGCAACAAATATTAAATATGTTTATGTCTATATAACTAATTGTATCATAGACATATGAATTGACATATGAACTGAAAAATAATATTTAATTTATATATTGATTTTTTTATTCTTGTTTTTCAAATAAGATTGATACAATTAATCAAAGTTCAAT